CACGGCCGCCTCCGCGGTGACCGACGGCGGCGGCGGCGGAGGAGCGGCGGCGGCAGCGGCGGCGGCGGACGAGCGGAGCCTCTACATCATGCGGGTGGTGCAGATCGCCGTCATGTGCGTCCTGGCTCTCACCGTCGTTTTCGGCATCTTCTTCCTCGGCTGCAATCTGCTCATCAAGTCCGAGGGCATGATCAACTTTCTGGTGAAGGACCGGCGGCCGTCCAAGGAGGTGGAGGCGGTGGTGGTGGGACCGTACTGAGCGCCGCTCCCCGCGCCCCGACGAGGCGGCCCCGCACGGAGCGCTCCGCCGCAGCGCTGCCCGCGCCCGTCCGCGCCCCGCTCCGAGCGGCGCCGCGGCCCCGAGGTGCGGGGAGATCCGCGGTGCCGAAGTAAAACGCGCTCTGATGGCAACAGGTCTGGGCTGCTCTTTTCCTTCGCGTTAAGAGCCGGGCTGATCGCGGCCGGGGAAGCGGGAGGGAGCGGGAGGCGGCGGCGGCTCCGCGAAGCGGTCGGGATGCGGCGGGACCCGTCCGGCCCCGCAAATGGCCGTGCTGCCCATCCTAGCCAGCCCCGTGCTGCCCATCCAGGCCAGCGGCACCGACGCTTTTTATTAACGCAGCCGAAAGCCTCGCCAACAGGTGACTTCTTACAGCCGCGTTTACGGGGGAGATATTCACGCCCTGATAAATTTTTTATTCCGTCGTCCATTTCCTTCATAGGGATAGCATCTTTCTGTGAGAGGCTGGCAGAGCTATTTGTCACATCCCCCAGGGTTGCCAGCCAGAAATCAATGCGGCCACATTTGCTGTAGGAGCAGCGGACGAGGCAGAAGCGCTGGGGATGGGTGCGGGAGGGATCCGATCCCCGGCACCCCTACAGTGCCGCAGCAGCGCTCCGGGCCGGGCAGCTTCCTGCCGGAGCCGCGGGATTTTGGAGCTGCCCCGTTGTCCTTCGGCTTATCCCGAGCTGATCAGAGCACAAATCATTAAAGACATCGGCAGGAGATGCTGAGAGAAGTTTCCTCTTTGATGGTTCGTGGCTAAAGGGAACAGTCTCACCCAGAGGGTCGTGAGGCACTGGCACAGGTTGCCCAAGGAGGCTGTGGGTGCCCCATCCCTGCAGGCATTCAAGGCCAGGCTGGATGTGGCTCTGGGCAGCCTGGGCTGCTGGCTGGCGACCTGCACACAGCAGGGGGTTGGAACTGGATGAGCGTTGTGCTCCTTTGCAACCCAGGCCATCCTGTGATTCTATAAAATGTAGCATTTACAACGAGCGCGGGGGCTTAGGTCCTTTCTGGGCTGGGAAGTGGAATCCAGCTGGAGCCTGAGGCAGCCTCCAGACGGAAAGTAAACTTTTGGTAGCAAATGAAACCAAGCAGGATTTCGCAATGTGGTGTAATTCCCTGAGATGTGCAGAAATCTCAGCTGTGTACTCAGTTAAGGGAAAGAAAAAGAACAGATCTGTCTGTTCTCCTGGGAACAAATATGCTGTGGAATTTGTCATTAAATCAAAGGAAATGTTACTGAGCTATCCATCGACTGAAACAGTGGGAAGAAACGTAACCAAAGCTCTCCTCCCTTCTTTACCCCTTAAGGCTGGATAATGCAGCACTTAATAATACAGTAATAGGGATGTTTTGCTGATTACAAAACACCTCCAAGTTGTTAACTCGCATCACTTGGTGGTAATGCAGTACAGTTGCTCTGTAGCCTGCCTTGCTAGCAGGGCACTGCGTACCTGAGCACTGCTTGAGGGCTAGATTCATTAAGTGTTCGTTATTAATTATAGCAAAGTGTAAGAAGTATTAATTAACATTTGCCAGAAGCCACAGTTTTTTCCAATGCTGTAAATCTGAGGGATGGTAAAGTCCTGGCTCTGTAGCAGTGCTGTCAGCCCATCACTTCCAACCCATTGGTAAGCATTGGGTGTTGGATGGCCAAAGCCACACCAGCTCCTATGACAGAGCAGAGGAGTCCCCAGAGGAGGATCCTGTCATATCACGGTTAGCTTCAAGGCAATACTGACAACCAAGCCACTTCTTTGTGCTTGTCCTTGGTAGAATGCACTTGATTTTATCACCATCCAAGGGGTGATTCAGTGATGAGCATTCTGGTTCCTCTGTAATGTTTCCGTTCGTGGCATTCCCAGAGGGGCAGTGGTTGGGCTGAGTGGCCCTTGCTTGGTACAGACAGGTGAGAGCTCTCCATTGTGTGTGGGGCCCTGTGATGGCCATCGGCTCAGGGGGGCTTTGCAGAAGGGCCCTCTCACAGAGCTCACAGCAGGACATCCCTGCAGCCTCTCAATGGCTGGTTTGGAGTCAACGAGCCCCAAAATCCATACAGCCCCAACCAGAGAGGGACAGCTGGGGTAATTCCTTTCATGGTCACTCATTGAGAACTGTAGGATGGTGATGTGGTTTGGCTTGGAAGGGACCTTCAAACCCCTCTGGCCCCAGTCTGTGCTGAGGGCAGGGACACCTGCAGACTGGGTTCCCAAAGCCCCATCCAGCACAGCCCTGAGCACCTCCATGGGCAGAGCATCCTCAGCTGCACAACACCAGCTACTGATGCAGCAAATTAAAAAGCATGATCCCAACTCCCCCAAAGCAGGGCTGGAGCAGCCTCACCTTAGGCTGGTGCACATCTGGTGTGATTTACTCTCTCAAAGGTTGCACAGCAATTTTGCCTGGGTGAAAGCAGTGTCCAAGAGGTGCCCATGCAGCAGAGCCTTAGGCAGAGCTCAGTATTGCTGCCCATCTACAGAGCATCCTCCTGGGTCTGCACATCCCTGACTCACAAGCGGTCTCCTTTGCTTCCAGCTGGCTGGGATAGCAGGCTGGGAAATATGAGATAATGGATTTCACTCTTTCAGCTCAAAATGTGCACTAATATCCCAGAACAAAGACCAGGATGTACCTTAGCCACTTCCCCTCAGCCAGTGGTGTTCAATGCTTTAAAAGAGATACGCATATTACAAACTCACTGGCAGCTGCAATTGCCTTTAGGTAACTCTTTGGAGGTACTCAGGCTCAATCCCTCTCGATGGCCACACAATTTTAATTGTATGCTTCCCACACCTTCTTAATAATAAACAGTGCTGGAAAGGTGCAGCTGAGATCTGCATGATGCGGGGTTCACATTCAGGCCATGACTCTATGGAAGCATCCCCTGCGGACACCCAAGCTCACATCCAGGTGGGCAGACCCCTCCAAACACACAGGCTCTGAGCCCTTATCACATACCATTAAGGAATGAACCATAGCAGCTCACCTCACTCCCATATCTGTGCGTGCACGGTTCCTTCTGCTGCACTGATTTCAGCAGACAGTGATGCGCGGCCCCGAGGGACCTCACATCTCCCAGCTCTTTGATATCATAATGCAGCAGCATCCCTTCCATAATGAGGATTTAAACTTGCTCACTTTCCACAAGCACACCACAGTGTGCCCAGGGCTGCAGCCAGCTCCCCGCAGCCAGCCCAGCACTGCACTGCTCCCACCTCCTCTGCACCAACGCTTCCCAGCACCGAAATGGCAACGTGGGACTCTTGGACAAAAGACAAGAGAAGCCAGCAAGCAGCAAGGAATGGACAGCATGGGAAAAGCACTGTGAGCAGCTCTGTGATGCTGAACAAGTTCCTGGTGAATCGGGACTTCAAGTAGTGCCCATGTCTGGGAAAACAGTGGGTTTCCAAGCAAGCAATGGTATCCATGGGAAGCTGAGGCACCAGTGCTTGCTTGGGTGAGGATGATGCACACCCACATGCACTTTCAGCAGCTCCATCTTCACTCTTTCCTCCTGCACTTAAACCCAGAGCGAGCGACCTTGGAGGCCATGCAGCTCATCCTCCGCTATGGATCTAGAGGTCAGTTCCTCTTGTGGCCCACCTGTATTATTCTTAATGCCAAATAATAGAGAGCTTGTAGCTGGGTAGATCCCAAGGGAAGGAACTGGGGGGAGCTGGGCTGGCTTGGGGCGAAGCGTATCCATCAGCCCGGCCATGAGCCGCTGGGGACCCATTCTGTAGCTATGGAAGGTATTTTTAGCACATGGAAAAAAAGTGTCATGAGCACATGATATGAAAAATACACAAAGTCATCTATCACGTTTACGTCCTTTCTTCTAGCATAGGCAGGTTGGGTCTTGCTGGGCCCTGCTGCTCTCTGGGCTTCTCATGCCCAATGGGAGCCAGGCTGCCCTGCACCAGGCACTGCTCTGTGCTCATGTCCTGTGTCAGCATCTGCTCAGAGTGCATCCGTTTTTTGCTTTCATTTTAGCTGCCTTCATTTCCTGTTTATCACTGACATTGCAGACAGAAGGAAAAATGGCCATTTGAGCTGAAACCTCACATGGACTTAAAGGAGCAGTGTCCTTGTGCTAAGGGTTAATAGGGTGGGGAGGGTCAGGTGGGACATCAGGAAATATTTCTTCTCCAAAGAACAGTCAGGCAGTGGCACAGCTGCCCATGGAGTGGGGGTCACCATCTCTGGGGCTGTCCCAGAGCTGTGGGGATGTGGCACTGAGGGATGTGGGCAGTGGACATGGGGGGGGGGGGTGGGAGGAGGGTGGTGTTGGGTGTGGGGATCCCAGAGGGCTTCTCCAGCTTTCAGGATTCTGTATTTCTACGATTCCATGACATTCTTGACAATGGGAAATGTCAGGTTGTAGAGTAACCTCTGTTGGAAAGACACAAAAATCCTTTTACCCTGAGAATATGTTCCCTACAAGACTGCATTCACCAGAAGCTGCTCCTCTGACCCAACCTCTCCATCAATCTTAGGACATCCCACCACTCAGCTGACTGCTGTGTTTCAGAAGCTACAGGAACAAAAAATGCCAACTGCGCTGTAAATGTTAACTACATGTAAGAACTACTCAAAGGTTTTCAAGCAAAGAGAATGAGCTGAATCAGAACCAGCAAGTTCAGGCCATGGAGGAAGGAATCGTTCCCTTTAATTCACTCGGCTCCCCAGAACACCGACGGCTGTTTGACAGCAAGCAAGACACTCTCAAACCCGACTGCCAATGAGGGCATTTGGGTGTGTAGTGGAACTGCCACTCACAGCGTTCAAAATATGTGTTCAGAGTTTCACAAACCCAGTCCAGCGTTCATCACAACCCCTGCATCATTAACAAGGCCTTCATCTCCCTTTCCCTTTGCCAAATGTAAACTCAGAGGTGATGGAGAGTATATGTTTGAGATGACCTGGCTCTCTTCCCACCAGCTGAGCAACACGATGCTGCTGTTCCCTATGTGCCCCATACCCTGTAAGCATCACCTAACTCCAATGCACT